CTGTTTTGACAGCAAACCATTGATTCTCCCAGGGAACATTTCAAATGATTTTACATTTTGCTCACATTTCCCCAATTTGCTTATGACAATATCAAGTGCAAATGTCATTTCAGAAACCATTACATAGTTAAGTTATAGAGAGAGAGCTTTCAGTGGTGGGACACGGGGGGGAAATGTGAGAAAACAGGCAGAACTTGTTTGAACTGAAGCAGATGAGGGGTCTGAGGGGAGGGAGGAACAAATGAGTGTCAGGGTAGGAGTCAGGGTCAGCTGGATTTGTGGATATACAGCTCTGGAGTCAAAACAGAGGTGGGTGGTGGATGAAGTCCTTCCTCAATGTTTCTCTATTTCAGACCTTTGCATAAAGCCAACACTTAAGAAGGTAAAACCTTGTTGAAGGTAGTTGAGAAATCCTAATAAGTGATTTGGAGGTTTTCCATGAACTTCACAGCTTCCTGTTAATTCTTGGTCTGACTTCAAATTTCCTGGCAAAATAAAATTCAAGTCCTGTGTAGAAGGTCCAACTTGGTAGAAGTGAGAAGTCTGTCAGGAGAGGTGGGTTACAGAAGAGGTTTTAGAACTGTGATGATGAAAGGCTAAAGAAGGAGGAAGGAAACGTTGCAAAAGTCAAGAGAAGGAAGTGGAGAAGAAACCTGTGGAAGAGGAAGCAGGAGAAGATGCACTGTGGTCAGTTGGGAGGTCAAAGTAGGGGGGAAATGAAGGTAAACCAGGAAAAGACCTTATTTGTTCTGAGTGTACCAATTTCTGACAATATCATTTATCCAATAAAACTGAGTGATTTCTTTAAATAAATGATGATAAAGTTCTAAAGCCACAATAACACATGTATTTTTACTTTTATCCCTGGGCTTTGATGTCAAACAGCAGCTTCTGGTTACATTATAAAAACCATTCTGAGTACTGTGGAAAACAAGTTTTTGGGTTTCTCTTGGCTTTAGACTAAATTTTCTGCAGGTGTTTTTCAGGAGAAGTTTGTGAGCTTGGGGGAAGGGATGATCCAGACAGAAAATTACCAATTTTTGTATAAAAACATTAAAGTCAGCTTTTATGCAATAGTTTCTGAGTACCTTTGCTGTTACCAGTAGATGTCACTGTGGATAACAAATCCCAGCGCTTAGGAGACAAAGGAGGTAATTTGTTAAATGAAAATTCAGCCTTTGAAAGTAGGTTGGAAAGGGGGGGGCAACAATTTTTTTTCCAAAAGAGACTTTTGTCAGCAAATAAAAACAGATTTCTTGCTAATGAGGATGTCTATTTTTGGCCACTCTAATCCTGTATTTCGTGGCTGCCTTCGCCCGACTTGGGTAAGTTCCTGGCGCTCCGTGTGACCTCAGAGGGGGTGTCTGTGTGAGTGTGCTCCTGCTCAGCTTTATTTTGAAAGCCTTTAGTGTTTGGAGGGTGCTTCAAGCAGCAGCCGTTGTCGCTGCAGCGTGTATGTTCAGGGAATTGGCCATGGAGGAAGTGGCTTCATTAAGGTTGATTTGGAGGGGGGAGCAAGATGAGGAAAAAAATTGCCCATATGATTGGCTGGGAGAATAGCTCTGAATTATGGGATCCATCTGTTTCCTGTAATGAATTCATAAACCCATCAAACAATGACCTGAACGAATTGCTGAAGGAAAAAAAAAATAATACACTGGCATGATATGTTTAACGCAGTGAGGCATTGGCATTGTATAATCAAAAATTCTCCTCACATCCAGCACTTTGTAATGGAGCTGCTGTGTTTAATAGAAGCTGTAAATAAATCCTGTCACAGTAGCAGCCAAGAATGCATTTCTGGGTTTAACTGTTTCTCTTCTGGAATGTCTGGTACTCGAAGGCTTTAGAAATGCAAGTTTTATAGGGCTGGAGTGGGGGATTCTGAAATATAAAGAAATGTTAATGAGGTGAATGAAAGGAAAAAGCTGCCATAAATCAGTATTATGTGGCTTAACCAGTTTCTTTCATTTATGCATGTTCTTTCCTTATGTCATAGAAATGTACTTAAAAGCTATTGTTGTAATTGAAATCTGTTAGACTGATCCTATTCATTATATTAATAAAATCCACCTACAATTGCTCGTAACACTTTTTTATGCAGTTGGGATTCCCGAGATTGTAATCATCAAAAAGCATATGGAGTAATTATTGGATTTGTTTGGGTGAAATTGGATTAAGAAGTTTAGATACCATTAAGTACTGATAATTATTACAAGCAAGCTCATTGTTTAGTGTATGTACAGCTCGGAATGGAGAGTAAGCAGATACCCATCACAAACATCTTAAGAGCGAGCAATCTCAAGGCTTTTATTTTACGCCTTCAATTGTATTTTTGCAAGAGGCTTTCTGCTTAAATGTTTTTGCTTCAGCTCTTAAATCACTCAGTATTAAATCCATTCCCCCATACATTTTAAACAACAGTTTTAGCATTCAGGCAAATTTAGCTGTAAAGGCTCCGTGTTAATTCCTGGGTTCCCAACAGCTGCCCACATGCCATTAGCTGTGACAGTGGATTACTTTCAGGTGAAAGGGTGGACAGGCTGCTCCTCCGGGGCTGGAAAGGGCTCTCCATGGATTGGCAGGTCGGCCCTTGGGGCTGATTAAACACGGAGCTCATGGAGCATCAGTGCTGGGGCAGCTCCGCTGACTGACGCACTGCCTGGGAGAGGCTCCCCCTGCTCTGCTTTTGTACCCTGCCATGAGCTGAAATGTTGTGTCTTTGTGCACTGTGTGTTCTGCGAGGGACAGCCCTCGTCTTGGAATGTAGCCTTTTGGGAAGGAGAATGGCCAAAGGGTTTATAAAGGTGTTGTTGGAACAAATATCACATGAGACATGCAGGGCAGACACTTCGAGCAGTTGGTATTTCTCACAGTGCATATCAACTGAAAATTGCTGTTTAAACATTGCTGAGGATGACTATAGAATACAGTCATATTGTCTTTGTAACACATATTCCCCCAAATGTTATTGCTGTATTTGAAGTCTAAATTCTAGCCTGGTACGAAGGTGGAATTTGGAGCTCAAGCCCATTACTATGATGTTGTTCACTCTTTTTGCTTTATTCCCTGTCAGTGGTGTAATTAAATGGTTATTTGCCAGCTGCCATGATTTGTAGGCACACTATTCTTGCAAGAGCCTTCATTTAACTACTCTTTTAAAAAGATTTTTGATGTACAAAATAAAATATACTTTTCTCTATTGATTAGAGAAAAGCTAACATATACGCAGAAATATTTTTATTCTAAAATACAGTGATATTTTGATTTTCTTTGTTCTTTTCTCTCATCTGGGATTCAGATATATAGAGGGAAACATTGTCTCTAACACTGAAATTGGGTTTCTCTGGCCACACCTTTTTGATCAAACAGCTTTGTGAATTTACATTAAAGTGGAAAGTGTGCATTCTATGACTTGCATTAGTGATGGGTTTTATGTATATCTGTATATGCACACCTATTTGGAAGTATCAGATGTGATTTATATATACACAGTACGGAGAACATAATCTTTTTAAAAAGCAGCCTGCCTTGCTCTCTGAAATATGTTTCCAATTAATTGTTATTCCTTATGAAATCTCAGGGCCAGACAAATCCCGACTCTGCTGGCATTGTGCCAGTCAGTGGTTTCCATTCTCTTGTCCTTTCCCTCCTCTTCCCTGGCATTCCTTCTCATCTGTTGGCACAAGGGTTTGTGTGCCTGGTCTGTCAGCCGACTTGGAGAACCTTTCTTGCTGGAAGGGTGGGTTATTTTTGGTCCATCAGCTGCGTCTGGAATGCTCTTGGTGAATCCTGTGGTAAAGGAGTCGCAGCTTCATCCTTTGCAGAAGGACTGAGTATTTCAGGTCTTGGGGTTTCTAAATGTTTGCATCTTTGTGATAATGGTGGTTTTAGTAGGTAAATGCTTACGTTGCTGTAACAGTAGTAGCAATAGAAGGAGGAGTTAAAAAGCACCCATTAAAATGAAGTAATATTTTCTGTCATGTGGACAACAGATTTATTTATATTGTGGAAACAGAATAGTTTTCACGTACATGTTGAATGTGCAAATTTGTTATTTGAAAATAATTATTCTGCATTCCATGACACTTTTAAACTACTTTTTTAATTGTCAGAGTATGGATAAACTGTTTCCAAAGCTGGTGATACATTTTGAAAAGGCAGTGAAGGTTTATTCTCTGCTCTTCAGGTGTTACTGGTACTTCAATTTTTTTTATATCCAGAGTTCCTTTTTTGTCACAGACATAAGCATAGGTGAAATTGTTTAGGCTTCCAAAAGAAACAATTTGGAGAAGCAGAATGTTGATGATTCTGTCAAACTTGGCATATTTTTGCTTGGCCGAGTCCCTGCTTGCTTTGACCACCCTCAGCATTCCCTTGGTTCCTGCTCACTGCTGCTGCTGTGGAAGTTGATTAGTTTTCCAGGGTGGCCTGGCTGGCTTATTGCAGGCAGGGTCAGTGTGGGGCATATCAGATGTACACCTGGGGTGTCCTGAAGTGCTTGATGTGAAGGTTTGTATAAAGACCACAAGAAAATTAAAGTTTGTGTGAGTGTTGAGTAAGCTGGTGTATCGAGTATTTTAACTTGTTTTTGGGAGCTCATTAGAAACCTGAAAATGTTTGTTTTCGTGGCTGTAGGCCATGGGGTTTGATGTTAATATTGGCAAGCTCGCATCCAAACGTGCAAAACTGCTGAACTGAAAAGGCAGTGGGGGCTTTAGGTGGGTGCAGCTTAACTGACCCTCCTGTTCAGTGCTGAATTATCACAGCTCTTTCTTGTCCTCTGTGTGGTTTAAAACAGGAAGGAGGATGTGCTGCAGTAGGGAATAAAAGGTTCAAATACTGTCCTGGGTCATGTTTTGCTTAGGCAGAAAACATGTTTTGCCAACTGCAGGACTAAGAAATATTATCCATTTGCTCATTTACAGTAAAAAAACCCAGAACCCCCAATCTCTCTGATACTAAAACAATTAATTTTTTTTTTTTTCTTTTAAATGCAGTGCCAGAACCTATTAAGACCAGTTTAAGCCAGCCCCAACCTGCCGGTACCGGTACCAGTACTTCCACCAGCACTATTACCAACAGCAGCAATGGCAAGCGCGCGTCTGCGAATGGGCAGCAGCCGGCTGCGTCCCGATACCTGCCTCGAGAGGTGCCTCCACGCTTCCGCCAGCAAGAACAGAAGCAGCTCCTAAAGCGGGGGCAGCCACTGCCCACCGGGACTCTGAGCGGCACCAGCCCCGCGCCAGGCGCTGCGCCAACAGGGGCCAGTCCTCCTCCGCAGCAGGGAGCAGGTGGACAGCATCATCCCAGTAAGACCCAACCAGGTAAGGCTCCGAACCCAGCTCATGTCCTCCACTGCTGGCATAAAAAAACGTGAGGGATGTTAAGAATCGTCTTAAAATCACAGGTTTTGAAGCAAAGCGTGTGCTGCTGCTCGTCTTCTTACCGGATACGTCATTTCTAGCATCCACTTCTAAAAGGTTTTCTTGCTTATTCAGGTGCTCAGACCTGTGGGGTCTTTCTTCAGTTTGTTTGTTTTTTCCTCCCCCCCCCTTTCTCTGATATGAATCTAAATATTTATCTAAATATTTATTTAGGGGTCATTCTTACAGAAGCGTTGTTAATTCAGGTGTTTCCGAGTTTTCATCTATAATTTTGACAGTTTTAATGCTCTTTAAAGAGTCTTTTGCATATTTGTAAATAAGGAATAGGAACTTTGCTTATGTCCTGTTATGTTGCTTTTATGCCTTTATTTACTTACTTATGCTCTCAATTGTTATTTTCACGTTGGGAAAATAATACTTTGGGGAAAGTAGTTTAGTGTCTTAGGCCTTTCTACCACTTCATTCTGTCCTTAGCAGATCAGAGAATCACAGAATGGTTTAGGTTGGGAGGGACCTTTGGGATCATCCAGTTCCAACCTCCTGCCACGGCAGGGACAACTTCCACTGTCCCAGGTTGCTCCAAGCCCCGTCCAACCTGGCCTTGGACACTTCCAGGGATGGGGCAGCCACAGCTTCTCTGGGCAACCTGTGCCAGGGCCTCCCCACCCTCACAGTGGAAAATTTCTTCCTTATATCTCATATAAACCTACCCTCCTTCAGCTTGAAGCCATTCCCCCTTTTCCTGTCACTCCAGGCCCTTGTCCAAAGTCCCCCTCCAGCTTTCTTGGAGCCCCTTTAGGCACCAGAAGGGTCTCTGAGGTCTCCTTGGAGCCTTCTCTTCTCCAAACTGAACACCCCCAGCTCTCCCAGCCTGGCTCCAGAGCAGAGGGGCTCCAGCTGTTGTAGCATCTCTGTGGCCTCCTCTGGATCTGCTCCAGCAGTTCCACATCCTTGTTAATTTGGAGTCCCAGAACTGGAGGCAGCTTTGCAGGGGGAGTATCAGACACACCAGCCTTCCTTTGGCTATTGGAAACAGGATATGGAGGAGTAAGTCTCTTAACTGCCTTTATTTTCCTGAAGCTGCTAATGAATGAGGAAATAAGGAGCTCTCTTCTTACTTGCCCTTCTGTGCTAGAGATCATGTAAGTTTTCCAGTGGAGATGAACTCAGTCAGTAAATGGTGCACATCCCCTTTTCCATTACTGCTGTGTGTGTGTGTGTGTGTGTGGTGTTAGGGAAGGCAGGGAGTGTTCTGATATAGTTATTTGGGCTTAAAAAAGTTATCTGGACTAAGTCATAAGGAGTTTTTTGATATCTTGAATATTAGTGATTTCTGTATGATCTGAAGTGTTGCTCATTATCACTCATTAAATGCTGTCAAACATCACATACTTCAGATCTGAACTGTCTGTAATTTTTCCCTTTGGGCATTACTGAATCTTTCACTATTTTTGCTGCTGAGCTGAACTCCAACAGAGCAAATTCTTTGGTGGTATCCTTAGAAGTTTTAGTTAGATAAGAAAATAATCTCTCAGAAATTACAGCTTCTGTGGTTATCAAGATGGATTTGGAAATATTATTCAGCTTCTCCCCAGGAACACAAAACTGAATAGACAAAATAAAACAATTGTTTATTTACTTAAAATGGTCCTGTTTTAGGGAGGGAAGAGGTTCTACTTCTGCATTCTCAAGTATTTGGCTTTAGTGGAACGGAAAGCAATCAGTTCCCACCAGTTAGAGCAGCATCCTCATCTTCCTTGCAAATCCCAGTTCAGCAGGGATGGTTCTGACATTTTTGGCTTCTTTTGCATTTGGAGATGTTTGTTAACTGTCAGATTAATGTTCTGTGTTGTATATGTTTTTTATTTTATTTTCAGAACTTTAGAATCATAGCATATCCTGAGTTGGAACAGACCCACAGGGATTATCGAGTCCAGCTCTTGGCCCTGCATGGGACACCCCAACAGTCCCACCCTGTCCCTGAGAGCGTTGTCCAAACACTCCTTGAGCTCTGGCAGCCTTGGGGCTGTGCCCACTGCCCTGGGGAGCCTGTTCAGTGCCCAACCACCCTCTGGGGGAAGAACCTTTTCCTGAGATCCAGCCTGACCCTGCCCTGACACAGCTCCAGCCATTCCCTTGGGTCCTGTCCCTGGTCACAGAGAGCAGAGATCAGAGCTGCCCCTCTGGTCATTATTTATGTGGTAGAGACAGACTGACCAACTCAAGTGGCTCAGGCTGCCTGAAGGTCAGTGTGAGATTTCTTCCAAGCATCATTATAAATGTATCTGAAGCATCTGTGTTTGAGTTTAAAGAAACACACTGTAAATCACGAAACAAAGTCCACTGTAAATCATAACATAATTCATAAAGAACTTCACTTGTAAGAGTGTGGTACAAGCTGTCTGACTTTGATCTTGCCAGATGCATTTCTACCTCGAGGCTTCAGACTTCTTTTCCTGATTCCTGTTTTAACCTGCTGTAGGTGTAGTTTGTCAGCCTGGCAACCTTCAGCAGATGTTTTGCACTGTTGAATTAGTTTGGTTTTTTTTATTCTTTTGCTACTTTTCTGTTACCATTGGAAAAATTCAGAGTACGGCAAAAGCTAGTACAAATAAGAGGAAGAGGAGTGCAGCACCTTTTCAGCTTCATATTATATTCCATATTGCACCAAACAAGTTAACCAAGATCAGACTCTTAGCAAAAGTGTTGCTTATAATCACAGAATCACAGAATGGTTTGGATTGGAAGGGATCTTAAAGCTCATCTTTTTCCACTCCCTGCCATGGGCAGGGACACCTTCCTCTATCCCAGGTTGCTCCAAGCCCTGGCTAACCTGGCCTTGAACACTTCCAGGGATGGGGCACCACAGCTCCTCTGGGCAACGGGTGCCAGTGCTTTATGCCTCACAGGGAAGAATTTCTTTCTAACATCTCATCTAAACCTGCAGTTTTAATCGAAAGCAATTTGTGCACAGTCACAGTTGTCTGGTGGTTGTTTATTCTGTAAAGGCAAAAGCTTTCAGTGGCATCAGATCTGCACAAAGTTCTTAGTTCAGGGAATAGAATCTTAGGCAAGCTAAATCCTTGGCTAATTTTTTGTCTGCTGACTAAAGAGATGGTTTTTTTGAGTCTTAAAGGATTGCATCTTCCCCATAGGAAGAACTCTCTGAATTCTGGAACAAATGTAGTTCTTTCCAGCAGGTGGAGCATCAGTTCATTTACTGACTGCAGATGGCTACAGGAGGAAAAAATAAATGTCCAGCTCAGTTTATAGTGATGACAGCTGTGTGCCTGGCTTCTTTGGAAGGCTGGGAGAGAAGTATCTCACTCCTGAGAGACCTCTGTAGCCATGAGATACATATATCAACAGTCTCACCCAATCTCTCATACGGGCTTTGTCTTCACCTTGACGAGCATAAAGAGGAAAGAAGTAGGAAGAGTATCAAGGGAAGGCCAGAGCCTTTTCTTCTCAGCTGTTAGGATCTGAGTGATTGTTAGCATTAGGAAAAATTGGGGGATTCTATATGCTGTAAACATACAGCATTTAAGTGAATTTTCGTGAATTTCCCATGAAATTTAATTTAAACTAATCACATTTTTGTGAATATGAAAATAAATTTTAAACAGGAGGATTTCAACTGAGCAATGCTTTATCAGAAGGAAGATTTTTGCCTTCCTCCTCTTAGCATCAGTAGGAACTGTTTTCCTTTGAATGTCTGTCTCTGGTTCCCTGGGTATTTCATTTACTAAAGAGACTTTGCAGGTAAAGGTTCTCTGGGGCAGGTGAAGGGAAGGAACAAAATAAATTTAACTTTTCCAGAAGACTCAGTGTAGGTACCTGATCCACATCTGAACAAGATTTTGTCTGCCTGAAGAGCACCTGTGTTGTGGGAGAGTGGACGTTATTCCTGGCCATTATTAGACATCTCAAAGACTAAAGGCAGCCAGTAATGAATCCATGCCCAGGGCTCCCTCCCTCTCTGGTGCCCTGATTGCCTGACCAGAGCCCCTTAGGCCTGGGCTGGATTCTGCCCAAACAAGGCTCCATGTGAGGCTTCTTTATACCCATCATGAACAATAATAACTTCTTTCCATGGACGAGCTGGCGTAAATCAAAGAGCCAGGATCCAGAAGATGCTTGATGTAAATTCATGTCTGTAGCATTTCTTTTTATAGGCTCATATTCCTTCATAGTTAATTTGTAATTATGCAACCACGTTCCTTCCAGGCACTATTTATAACTACCTGGATACAAGGAAGGCTGTTAGAGAGGCATTGCCAGCCTCCTCACTCTAAAAATCACACTATTTTATCTCTTTATTCTCTTATCAGCACAGTCTCTGTTATCTACTATCCAAAACACTGATCAGAACTTAACTGCAATGTCCTGAATTAAAAAGGATGTTCTGCCAGTGTAAGGCAAGTGGGAATTGATGGCCACTAATATATTCTTTGTCAGGTTTATCACCTGGAAATATCAGTGAAGTGAGTGAGAGCAGGGATTTTTTGTTTCTCTCTTAAGGTAATGTCTAAAACATTAACTAGATAAACTGTTAAGAGAAGAAATTAAAGCATTTTAAATTGCATGGAACATTTTAGAAATCTTATCCCTTGAAAACAGTCTTCTACTCATTGTTAAATATTGTGAAACTATTTTCTGAGTACTTTAGAGTAGAATAGTTACTTGTCTGGAGCTTCTGCCTTGAGCTACAAAGCTTGTTCTTGACATCCCCCCTCTGTAATCCTTTTCAGGATTACACCAAAGGGAAGCTGTATCTCTAATTTATGAGCAGCATTCTAGTATCTAGTCAAGTTTGTTATTTTTAAAAATGAGGCTTTTTTTCTCTTCCCACTTTGTCACTGACTCCAAAAAACGTGGTGAATAGTTAACTCCCCTTATTATTGTGAAGCATTAGTTGAATCAATGGAATGGATCTTTTG